CAAACCCGTAAGACCTTCGTTCATCTTCAGAACAGAAATTAAGATATTTTTGATGAAATGTGAGAGCTCTCAGACCCTGCATAGACAGCAACGCAACTTTAATGTTCCCAGGTCCAAAAACGTAGTAAGGACATCGGTTAAACAGTCCATATGACATCAGTGGCTCAACTTAAGTTTTGCGAAGCTACGAGAATACTTTGAGTGCAAAGAAAACAAAAATAACATAATTTATTTAACAATTCTTCTCCCCGAGTTACGTCTTCCACCATTTTGGAGTATCACAACACATACGCACGCTTTCCCCTAAGCATAACGCTGATTACGCCGATTATGTTCATGCGCGCGCCTTTCTCCTCCGAACGTAAACAACGCTGATTACATCGATTACGCTCTTGGGTACTCTCCAAAATGGCAGAAGACGTAACTCGGGGGCCACTGATGTCACATGGACCGTTTTACCGATGTCCTTACTACGTTTCTGGACCTGGGAACATTACATTTGCGTTGCTGTCTATGCAGGGTCTGAGAGCTCTCACATTTCATCAAAAATATCTTAATTTGTGTTCCGAAGATGAACGAAGGTCTTACGGGTTTGGAATGACATGAGGGTGAGTAATTAATGACAGAATTTTCATTTTGGGTGAACTATCACTTTAACAGTCGTACGGACCCCTGACGTTTAAGCGGTGGCGTTTGGATGTGAGGTTCTGTTGGTTCTGGAGGTTGTGTGTGAAGTGTTTGCTGTGGTCTGTAGATCTCTGTGGAGGAGCTGATGGGAAGCATCAGTGTGAAGATCAGTAAAGAGGCCATAATGAGCATTAACAGTCCTGAGCGACTCTTCAGCCCCGTCAACGACAAACTGGATACAAAGGTTTACATTGCCGGCCTGCCTAATCGCAACGAGAGCCTCATCAAACCAGTGAGAATTCAAACACACACCTGACGGGTCATTACACATTTTAAATGCAATTAGCATTTACAAAACTTTTTTTTTTTTAATTTTTTTTTTTTAATCAGTGCAATATTTTCATTTTGTAACCCTAAATTCTCAACTGCACTTTTCTACCAATGGATTATTTTAATCTTTTTTTTTTTTTACATTGCATTTCATTAATGAGAAGATTATTCAGCATTCCACTTTGAATTTGAGTGAAAAATGTGTTTTTGCCATTATAATTTTATTTTTCTTAATTTTGTTTGTTTCTCATGATTTTGGGGATGACGTATGAGCTGGTCATGGTCTTGTTTTCATGAGATTGACCCCAGTGACTGTGTTATTTTAGTGTAATTGAGATGCTGCTATAGTTTTCATTCATATTTTAAATTAATTTTTATTTTTATTTTATTAACATTTTATTTATTTACATTTTAAATTTTATTTAAATTTTAGTTACAATTTTAGCAATGTTGTTTTTGTCATTTTTATTTTTTAAATATGTATAGTCTTTAGTAAGTTTTATTTTAGTCTTTATTTTAGTGCATCAAGTTAAAGTAAATAAAAATAAGAAATGTTTCTTTCGCAACTAGTCGAAATAAAATAATTTTAAGCTCAAGTACTAAAATTGCTAAAACTAGAACTGAAATAAAAATAAATGAAAGCTAAATCTAAAAAAATAAATAATTAAAATCGAAAAGCACATAACAAAATTACAAAAAATGTAAAATGATGGACATTATTTTAATTTAGTTTGTTTTATTTGAAGTAATGTGTGTTTAACAATAGTATTGTTTGGTGAATGAACTGAATGTGTGTTTTGTTTGTGCCGCTGTGGTTCAGATCAACCCGAGGCTGGATGGCTGCATCCGTGGCTGGAATCTGATGAATCAGGGCGCGTCTGGAGTGAAGGAGGTGATTCAGGAGAAGGAGAGCAAACACTGTTATGTGCATGTGGAGAAAGGCTCTTTCTTCAGCGGCGGAGGCCTGGCACTCTTCAACATCAACTACAGTGAGTTCAGTGAAATAAATACAATTAAAGCTCTTTAAAGAGTGTCTGCAACACGTCCATTACCACAGGAGATTCAGTCTAAACTCGGCTCGTATTTTTGCACAAGCACTTTGTATAAGTCAAGTAACATTTATTTCTATACATTTTTAATACACTTTTACATTTATTTCTATAGTGTTCATTAATTATGAAACAAATTTAATTCGGCTATAAAGCAGCTGGAATATAAATAAATTAAATTTTTACGCTCCCTTTATCAGTGCTATTTTAGCATGATTTATATATTATTATAGTATTTATTAATATTTTGAATTGGCTTTTTATGTTTATATTTTCAGTTTTCATTTTAATTATTGCAAACATTTTAACTAAAATAATAATTTAAAATATTTGAAATTAATTTTAAGTATTATTATAAAAGCAATATGTAATTTTTATCAGTATTATTTTAGTATGATTTATTTACTTTGTGTTTACTAATATTTTGAATATTTTTATATTTTCAGTTTTCATTTTAATTTTAGTTTTATTTTATGTGCTTTGTCATATAAATATTTTTTTATCAAATGAATATCTCTCTCTCTCTCTCTCTCTCTCTCTCTCTCTCTCTCTCTCTCTTTCTTTATACATATAAAAGCAGCTTCACAGTAATACATAGGAAAGAAACAGTGTTAATGTTGCAGAATTAATCAGTTATGCATATCTGATGTTGCAGAGTAATTTTAGTTTTATTTTATGTGCTTTGTCATATAAATATTTTTTATCAAATGAATATCTCTCTCTCTCTCTCTCGCTCTCTTTCTTTATACATATAAAAGCAGCTTCACAGTAATACATAGGAAAGAAACAGTGTTAATGTTGCAGAATTAATCAGTTATGCATATCTGATGTTGCAGAGTTTTAGAATTAAGGAACAACTTCAAATGCAGCTCTACAGAAGACAAAAGTCTCATCGCTACATATAAGCACATTAATGAATGAATGAATAAAGCTTTAACTCTGTTGTAGATGGATGAGTTACTGACGTGTGTGTTCGTGTCTTAGGCAGCACAAATCTCTGGAAGCTGGATGTTGTGATGAACATCCGTCCATCCAGCAGCACCGGTGTATTATTTTCCCTGATTAGCAACCACTCTGTCCCTCTGTCCGTTGCCGTGGTGACGCAAGGACCTGATGATGCGGTAAGATTCAGCGCTGATGTCCCGTCCTGGTGAAGTCTCAGCACACACTAGACACACGCGTGTCTCTTGCTCATGTGTTGCAGAATCTGCAGGTTTTCATGGACGGCATCTGCGTGGCGACGCTACAGTCTCTGATGCTGTGTTATCCGGATTGGTTGGTGGTGGAGATGAAAGCATCAGCTGATGGTCTCCACATCACAGCAAACTCCTCCAGCGTGTCCTACAGTGACTCTGAAACCCTGAGCATGGCTTTATCCAAACTCAACAGTGCCATGCAGGGTCACGTCCACACTTACATAGGAGGACTTCCAGGTCAGTCAGCTTGTTTACTTCATTTTTAGCCTGATTCTGAAAAAAAAATTTGAACTATAAAAAAAAAAACATTTTCATTACTTTAAATAAAATAAATATTAGGGATGCACCGATACCGATACTAAGGTAAGGTAATATCTGTTTGCTAAATGAAGCCAACTAACATGATTCATATTATTATTATTATTATTATTATTATTACTATTATTTTGTTTCTGTACCCAATATTTTTAAAAAATTACAAATGCTGTGAAAATACAGGTATCGGTATCGGCAAGTACCAAAAATGAAAGTATCGGTATCGGACTCGCTCTGAAAAAAGTGGTATCGGTGCATCCCTAATAAATATTAACTGAAATAAAATACAATATAAAAACATTTAATTTATTTTATTTCATCTAGTTTTCCAAGGCGACGTTTATCATTTTCATTTAGTTTAACTTGATGTACTAAAATAAATAAAACTACAACTGAAATGAAGATTTAATAAAAACTATGACACATTTGAAATAAAAATAACAAAAACACTACAAATTTACTTTAATAGTATCTATTAGTATCTAAAACTATAATAGTATCTCTATAAAAATAAATAAAATATGATAAAATAATACTGGTATGTTGCTTTGGATAAAAGCATCTGCCAAATGCATAAATATAAATGTAAAACTCAAATAAATATTTATTTAAAAAAAACTTTATAAACATATTAAAAATACATCAAAATGTCAAAACACAACAAAATTACTAAAACCTGAAGTACAATTAAAATATTAAATATATAAATGAAAATTATACAAAATATAAACAAATGTATGATACAGTTAACTAATCTTCAGACTTTAGAATGGCATTTAATCACATTAACTGGTAATGCAAAATGTGAATGTAAACCCAAATAAATGTTAAAAAGTATATAGACATTTTTAAAAAATTACAAAAACACAACAAAATTACTAAAATGAAAATGGAAAAATAAAAACTAATTCAAAATATTCAAATCTATAAAAGTAGCCAATAATACTAAAATAAGACTGGTTAAGTTTTATATCTTAGAACTGTAGTTAATTATATTAGCTGGTAATTCAGATATTTAAATTTAAAACTCAAATAAAAAATAATAATAATAACTATATAGACATTTTTTAACAAAAATAACAAAAATTAGTTGAAAACACAACAAAATTACCAATTATAACTAAAATTAAAATGAAAATATAAAAATAAAAACTAATTCAAAATATTTGTAAAATTTACAATAGTATCTCAGTGATACTAAAATAACACTGGTCCAGTTGTTAATCATTAACTAGCACAGTAAAAGTCAGTATTTCTGCAGTATTAGTGCAGATTCATTCACTAACAGCTGCTGGTCAGCACTCCTTCTGTTACTGGTATCTAATTGTCTTCATCGGGACATCAAATCAATAAATCTATCAGCTGTGGTGTCTTGTAATGGTTTTAGAGCACTAACATCAGATTGTCTGTCCATCACAAACATCTGAACCTGGATTGTGCTTGTGTGACTCTAAAATTAAAATGAAAATATAAAATATAAAAATAAAAACTAATTCAAAATATTTGTAAAATTTACAATAGTATCTCAATGATACTAAAATAACACTGGTCCAGTTGTTAATCATTAACTAGCACAGTAAAAGTCAGTATTTCTGCAGTATTAGTGCAGATTCATTCACTAACAGCTGCTGGTCAGCACTCCTTCTGTTACTGGTATCTAATTGTCTTCATCGGGACATCAAATCAATAAATCTATCAGCTGTGGTGTCTTGTAATGGTTTTAGAGCACTAACATCAGATTGTCTGTCCATCACAAACATCTGAACCTGGATTGTGCTTGTGTGACTGATTCAGATGGAGATGATGGTGGGAAACCCAGTCAGACGTCTGTCAAGAGCAGCATATTATAATGATTAAGTTTTTTGCACCACAAAAGGGTAAAATATTTGTAAAAATCATTTTTCATCCCAACTTTACCTCTTTGTGAAAAATCACTCAATTTGAAGGAGTGTTTCCTCTTTCAGAAACAGAAGTAAACACCCACTGCTGTGATTGGCTGATTCATCTCACCGTAGCCACACCCTCATTTATAGCATGTTGTGTGTTTTGATACTCAAGAGGGCAAGCACTGATAGTTAGATAGCTGTGTATGTTTGAGCTCAAGGCAGAAGAATTTCAAACAAGCAAACCACAGTGATTGCAATGGTCTGCTTCATTATTGCTACATAGTTTTGAAAGTACTATTATTAATTGTCGTAATAAAAAAGACACTTAAGCTGAAGTTTAAGTAGTTTTAAGAAATCATATTGTTTCTCATTCATTTGTCAACAGATAAACCGTTTTTTTAGTTGCAACTTTCATGCTTAGTGGCAACATTTTGTCATATTCTGTTCTGATTCTGATATTTCTTTTTGTACTGATTTTATTATTAAAACTCAAAAAATTATACGCTTGGTGTCATAATAGCATTATGGTTTGATGTTTATTACAAACATACTGTAAGATTAAAGGGGTCATATGACGCTGCTAAAAAATAACATTATTTTGTGTATTTGGTGTAATGAAATGTTTATGCGGTTTAAGGTTCAAAAAACATTATTTTCCACATACTGTACATTATTGTTTCTCCTCTATGCCCCTCCTTTCTGAAACGTGTCGATTTTTACAAAGCTCATCGGTCTGACAAGGGAGGTGTGCTCTGATTGGCCAGCTATCCAGTACGTTGTGATTGGCCGAATACCTCAAGCGTGTGACGGAAATGTTACGCCCCTTACCCATACTGTGATGCCCTGTCCGGCCGGAGCGACAAGATAAAAACATTAAAACCCATTATAAACGAGGCATTTGTTGCATCCAGTGGGGACATAATTACTGATTATAATGACTTATACTGTCTTTTTACGCGTTGCATCACGCCGCATAAACAAAACCATGTCTGCATTTGTGATCGGAGAAATGACAAACAACAAGCCCTACTCTACACTGCTCAAAACTCGCGTTTGAATCATCAGTGGCAAATTCTTTAAATATGAAAGGGTACTTACAGTCTGTGAGTCAGCATTATTTGTCAGCATCATAGACTGTATAGGGTCAGCATGCGCGCCGAAGGGGAAACATGGGAACTGAATTCACCGGAACACTGGCATTGTAGTCTACTCTCCCAGGAAACAGTCCTCGTCCTCCGTAAAATGCGTTGCTCACATCTGAATATTTGGGTTGAAGTGTTCTGGAACAGTGTTGTAAATACAACTTAACCACTGATTTCTAGTTGTGTCCTCTTTTGGATGACCAAACAAAGTAGTTTTGCTTTCCCAACGAAACACACAGCGTCTCCACGACATGGCGGCGGCGGCAACAATACTACAGCAAGAATCAAAGTTACGCTTTATTTCTTTGTGTAAACATTTGGGCGGTGTTATGCAAATCTTCCCACACAGTGACGTAGACATGTGGGGGTGTGGACGAGTCTTAACTTTTATAAAGAATATCTCTGGGTTTGAGACTTTAGTCTTTGCAACTTTAGGGATCTTATCTATTCACAAACAGCTTGTAACACTCCAAAGAGAAAGGAAAACTTGAAATCGCATCATATGACCCCTTTAAAAATAAATGCACTGACCTGGGTTTCCTTTGAATAAAATGCTGCCTTATCTTTCACTAAAAGATATTGTGAAAAACAATACTGACAGCATGTTTAGAATAATTCACAAAACAGTCCGTTGTGAAGAACAAAGGAAAACGTTAGCTTTCAGTCGCTCAGGCTCATCAGTAAAAATAAACGCCTCCTTTGATTACATACAATGATGATGCATGTTAAGAGCGTGTTGAGAAGAAATCGTGACGCCAATTTCAAATCCAGACGTTTCAGAAGGGTAGAAAAAATAATTTCAACTCAGTTTTGAGTTCTGAAACTTACAGTATGTTTTTATTGTGGAGTAACCTTTCATGTGTAAATATAAAGAACATTTAGATTCTCCATTTCATGACCCCTTTAAATAAGGTCGTTTTTAGAATGAACAGAGAAAGTGTGTTTTTTCCAATGATCCCTGGCATCATGTCATGTTCCCTGGCTCTGTATGTGTGCAGATCTCCCGCTGTCCGTCACTCCCATCTCTGCATTCTACCACGGCTGTCTGGAGATCAGTGTAAATGGACAGCAGCTGGATTTCGACGAGGCTGTTAGCAAAGACAACAGCATCAAGTCTCACTCCTGTCCTCCTGTTTCCGCCCCAGACCCTCCGTCCGCTGAATCCCAGCTGCGCTAGACAGGAAATGACATCACAGCCTAATGCAGGGACACCTGACCGGCTGCGTCTGTCTGTGAGTTCCTGTCAAACACATGATGCGATGTCCTGATTCTGGGTTCAGCAGGAGACGGAGAGAGAAAGCTTGACCTGTGATGTTTCTTTGTGTTTTTAATTGATCCACTCATTAGTTGACTGATGACTAACCTGTGAAAGAGCTTCAGAAGCTCATGAGCCTCTATTTAAAGATGCCACACATATTCATTCCAGTATTTTTATTCCTGACGTGTGTCTTTAATCAGGTTTTTACTCGCAGTATAGAGCCGTCAGTTTGTATCTTGTATATAACACACTAATTTGAATGTGATGTGAATATGTTTAGGTGGATATTGAACACTAGTGCCGCATTAATTGTTGTAATAAAACATGAAATGCAGCTTGTTGTCGTCGTCGTCATCATCATGCAAATGCAAATCTCACCTTCTTAAGAAGCAAAATCCCATCTTAGACACGAATGAGTGTTTAACTGTTTAATTACTGCCTACTTTTCACATATACAGTATGTGGTTCTGAGGAAATTTCTATATTTGTATTTCTCTGCTTCTATATCTAGTTCTATTTATATATTTTTCTATAATTCTAAATTTTTCTATACTTGTATATCTAGATCTATTTCTCTGTACTTCTATATCTAGTTCTATTTCCATTTCTGTACTTCTATATAATCTTTATAAAAGTATAGCAGATACTTATATGCAATGATACAAATATCATTCTTCACTCTATATCTCCAATAATATGTCTTAAGATGATATTTAAATGTTTAGTTTGATGATCAAAACACATAATGCAATGAAATACAATGGTGATTGAAAGATGAACAAATAAGCATTCCTCAAAAGCCTGATGATCATATTTGATACTCACTGATTTTTCTAAAAAAACGATGTTTGGATAATCAAGTAAACCTATGTTGCTTCAGTCATTTTTTTATTCTATATGTAGTTCCATTTCTGTATTTTTCTATAGTTCTATATGAAGTTAAGTCTATACTGTTCTATATATTTTCTATAATTCTATATCTATTTCTGTTTTTCTTTGTGAGTGTGATATTTATTTTTTATGTTAAAAAATGCCAGTTTAGTAGTGACTGAGTTGTGTAGATTAATTTCCCTGACAGTCTGAAAGCTGCGGTTATTATTAGAAAATGTTCTACTTTTGGCTTTTTTTGTGCAGTGTAGAGGTGGAAGAGTGAAATGTTTTCATTTGACAGTGCTCAAACACCAGACACTGGATCTACATCTCTGTTATATTTCTGACATGAGATATACAGTGTGTTTTACAGATGGACATGAGTGACCTGACCTCAATGTTGCAAAAAGAAACAGACAGGAAACGGGAGGGAGGAACAGCGAATGAAAACACTGGCTCAGAAAAACAAGAGGAGAGCGAGCGAAGTAAACACTGAGAAAACAGCTGCAGGAGAAGAATGTAACCTCACATTTGAGCCATAAGAACACAGTCAGGAAAATCACTGTCAAATCAACAAACAGCCTGATTAGAATGTAGGTCTGCCTTCACTAAAACACAGAGAGATTTCACTGTCAGACTCACAGAAACTTTACAAATGGACATTAAGAAGTAAAAAAACACATTTTTTTAAATGCTTACATCTTAACATAATGACCATGGCTCTATAAAGACCTCATGAGACATACTTTAACCCAATAAAGCCTGACATATTAAATTAAAGTAAAAAAAAACAAAAAAAATTTAATCAAACCCTTAGACAAAATCAAAAAATGTTGCATGTTTTTGTTTTGTATCGTATTTCATAGATCAGGCTTCTATAGCTCATATAGTCTGATATACAGAGAATATGGAGGGAAAAAAACTCAAGAGACTTAATCTGAGCAAAAATAAGCAGTTTGGTGCAAATACTGATATGTACAGTGGGTATGGAAAGTATTCAGACCCCCTTAAATTTTTCACTCTGTTATATTGCAGCCATTTGCTAAAATCATTAATCAGACGAAAGAAGGCATGTAGTAGATTGTGTGAGAAAGTTTTGATCACGTTGATCATTTAGAGGCCTTAGAAATTCATCATCAAATGTGATACACTTGACTTTATAGGTTTAATTGACCAAATCTACAGTGCTGCTATTAAAATTCATGTGTCCTGGCACAAGTGTAGATCACAGCATAGAGGACATTATTTGGTACCTTTCCAGATGACAATCCTGCAAATCAACAATCGTGTCATGAACACATACTTAAAGTATCAGTTCACCCAAAACTGAAAGTTCTGTCAACATTCTGTGGAACTCAGCAGATGTTTCACTGGAAATGTTCACTTTCAAATCTCACTCTGTGTGTCGCAATCGCACATCTCAGATAAACCAGCCCTACCCAGAACCATCATGGCCAGGTACAGGCCAGTTCGAAATAACATGCAACTGCTGTGATGTCATGCTGATGCGTGCCAAATAGTGAGCAAACAAAAAGCATGACGGGAAACCACTTGATTGCGACACAGTTTAGGAGCTCAGTGGCTTAGAACCTGATTGTGATTGTGCATTCAGTGTAGACAGTGTGAATGAAGTTGTGTGCCACTACACACTATGCACTAATACTATGCACTATGTACAATCCCAGCTTACAAAAATATGTTCTAAGAATATTTTGTTAACGTTCCCATCAAGTTATGAAAACGTTATTCAGTTCTGAATGTTCTCTGAAACGTCAAAGCATCCAGTTTTTAAATGTTTTAAGAACTCTTTTTTTTTGTTATGCAAACATTAAGGGAACATATTCCATTTTATCATTTTGCAAACATTATGGAAACATTACTTTTGAATGTTCTCTGAAGTAGTAACATTTACCCAGGTAACAAAGTTAGGTTAGAAAAATGTTGTTGAATGTTGAAAATTGTTTTAAAATGTTTCTAAAACGTTGAAATGTCCAGTTTTCTTGTTGTGATTATAATGTTATTTAAAGGTTACAAAAGCATTTCTTACAATGTTCTGCTAACTTTTTCACCCAAAATATAACATTATTTGAATGTTTATTTTTAATATTCTACGAATGTTTTCTTTTAATGTTATGACAATGTATATCAAATATTAATAAATTGTAAGAATGTTTTGTCCTAGCATTATAAAACTTAAAAAAAAAA